CTGTCCATTGGCTTGTCCTGCTCTCTTTTTCATGTCCAGCCCCTGATGAGTGTCCATTGGTGTTGCCTTCGCCTTCCCTCCTCCCCTCTCCCCGGCTTGCCCTGCCCATGTTTTGTATGTCTCTGTCCATCCAGGCTCCTGACGTTCAAGTTCGCAGGGACGTCACGTCCGCACTTGAACTTGCAGCTCAGGGGGGCTTTTGCCATTTTTTTCATCTCTCTCTCTCTCTCCTTCTCTCTCTCCCTCTCTCTCCCTCTCCCTCTCTCTCTCTTTTTTTTTTCCCTTGCACAAAAAAAAAAAAAAAAGCCATGACTGCTATCCCACAATTCATCTTCCCTGCGCCATCTTTGTATTATTTCTAATTTATTTTGGATGTCAAAAGACATTGATGAAGATATTTTCTCTGGAGTCTCCTTCCTCTCTAACCCGTCTCTCCCGATGTGAACCGAGCGACTCACAAGCCACCGAAGCCACCAACCCACCATGTCGCGCCGCAAGCAAGGCAAACCCCAGCACTTAAGCAAACGGGAATTTTCACGTAAGTAACCCGGAGAGCAATTTATTTAATTTCCCCTTCACGGATTTAATTTTTAATTTGAGCGAGAGCAGGGAAAAAAAAAAAAAAAGAAAAAAGAAAAAAAAAAAGTGAGAGCGAGTGAGCGAGTCGGGGAAAAAAAAATTAACTCAACGCCTGCTTGGGATTATCAGCATTCCGGTTAATTTCTCCCTCTCTAATTTAATCACCTTGATGACTTTTCTTCTCTTTCTGCCTTTGCCCCCCGCCCGCCGGCGCGCACTCCCCCTGTCTCCGCTCCGCTCCCTTCTCCCCGCTCCTCCCGCTTTCCCCGCTCTTTGGCGGCAAGAGCCGGCAGAGGTGCGGGGCTGCCGGGGGTTGAACCGCCCCGAAAGTGGAAAGAAATTCCTGCGGGAGCGGCGGGTCGGACGCCGGACACCTTGGCCGGGCGGGAGAGAGCCGCGGGCGAGCGGAGCGGGGAGAAAGTCCGGCGGCCGGAGCCCCTCGGCGGCCGGAGCCCCTCGGCTACCGGGCGGGCTCGCCCCTTCGCCTCGCCCGCCCCGCGGCACCCTCTCGGGGGAGGCGCTGGGGGGGTGTGTGTGTGTGGGGGTGTAAAACCGAGCCGGGCCGCCTTCCCTCCCTTTTGTTTCCGCCGCGGGGTGGCCGTCCCGCCGACCCCCGCCGCCCCGGGCCGGC